CTCCTAAACAGCTGACAGGAGTTTACATTCAGGGATCACTTCATGTGATTGCACCTGCTCAGTTTGCACATGTATATTTGCTGACTATTGCACATACAGCTGTGATGTAGCATACGTTCTCTCATTGTGTTCTCACTATATTTTTATATACTTATATTTCTTTCACTTGCTGGTTGAAGTGCCTTTAGATCTTCATGCCAATGTTTATCTGTTTATATTTCACTTGTATTGTTTAGTCCCTGGTAGGCCAGAGGTTAAAGTGCAGCGCTCTCGCCGCTGCAACTCTGGTTCGAGTCAGGGTTGCGTCAAGAAGGGCATCTGGTGTAAAACATGTGCCAAATGTCAACTTGCGAGTAGTCAGTGTGATGATTCGCTTTGGCGACCCCTAAAAAAACGGGAAAAAGCTGAAAGTGACTTTCTTTCTTTCTGTTTCACTCGTATTTTTGTGGCATTCATGTGGACGACAAAGTAAGAATTTCATTGTACAGGGAAACAGGTTTCCTTATTGTGCATATGACAATAAACACTTTGAATCTTGAATCTATATGGAGGTATTTAGAGACCTATAAGGGCGTATGAGGTAGATGAGAGCAGAAATGTACTCTGAAAAGGTATATAAAAGTATATAGACTAATATATAGAGGTAAATAAAGGTATAAGGTACACTACTGTTGGGAAAATGCTTTGTTATATCTTGTTCAAATGCTCAAGATGTTCCAGCTGACGGGAGTTTATAAATGGGGGTTACTTCATGTAATTCCACCTGTACTGTTTACATGCTCAGTTGCAGATGCATCACTGCACATGCATAGTTGCACACCAAATGCTTACTATTGCACATACAGCTCCGATGCAGCATACATTATCTCCTAGTGTGTTCTCACTATATTTTTATATACTTATATTTCTTTCACTTGCTGGTTGAAGTGCCTTTAGATCTTCATGCCAATGTTTATCTGTTTATATTTCACTTGTATTGTTTAGTCCCTGGTAGGCCAGAGGTTAAAGTGCAGCGCTCTCGCCGCTGCAACTCTGGTTCGAGTCAGGGTTGCGTCAAGAAGGGCATCTGGTGTAAAACATGTGCCAAATGTCAACTTGCGAGTAGTCAGTGTGATGATTCGCTTTGGCGACCCCTAAAAAAACGGGAAAAAGCTGAAAGTGACTTTCTTTCTTTCTGTTTCACTCGTATTTTTGTGGCATTCATGTGGACGACAAAGTAAGAATTTCATTGTACAGGGAAACAGGTTTCCTTATTGTGCATATGACAATAAACACTTTGAATCTTGAATCTATATGGAGGTATTTAGAGACCTATAAGGGCGTATGAGGTAGATGAGAGCAGAAATGTACTCTGAAAAGGTATATAAAAGTATATAGACTAATATATAGAGGTAAATAAAGGTATAAGGTACACTACTGTTGGGAAAATGCTTTGTTATATCTTGTTCAAATGCTCAAGATGTTCTACATTTGTACGTGCAGGTGTTTTGGTTTAGAGCAGATGATGTATTCATGTTTGAGCTGATCCACATAGTTCTCACAAATACCAGACCACGAGTATGCAGAAAAGTTTGTGACGGCACCCGTCTCTGTCTGGTAGACAGGGACTGATAACAGGGATTGAGTTCTTGGACTGCCACAGTACCAACGTGACTGTATAAAGAGGCTCAGTAGAGACTTCCTCTCTGACCATTGGTTTCATGCAGCTGAACTGTATGGATTGAAGCTGCAAGTAGTAAAATCCTTATATAAAGAAAATCAGCCTCAGTCTACTCAGTCCGTTTGTTTATGATAAAATAACCCTAACAACTACATAAGTTATATTTTAAGGAAGAACTTATCCCATATCCTGTGTAGGAGTAGACCTTACTTGGCGTTTTTGATGTATGCGGTGGCCTTGGTGAAGTCTCCCTGTTGTTTGTACAGCAGACCCAGCTCATAGAGAGTGAAGGGAATCAGGTAGTGATCGTATCTGATGCGACTCTCACTGGAAGTACACACAAATAAAAACATGTCTCTCACCTCCCTCACACTGGTCAGAGGACACCCAGCAGGACTAAGCCAGTGTCTGTGTGTGTTACCTGGAGAGGACCTGTGTGAAGCAGAGCTCGGCCTGCAGCAGCCTGCCCAGGTGTTTCAGACACAGCCCCTTCAACATCTGGACCAAACAGCTGTCATCTGGATGAAACTCTGTTGGATCTGAATGAGTGAAAGAGAGCTTTAATACTAATTTCTGCAAGAAAACAAGAACTAGAATTAAAGGTTTTCCATTTTCCATCACAGAATCAAAGTTAAACGACAGCATGAAAGATGAACTGATGATACTGAACATCTTATTCTGTGACCTGCAGCTGTGGATTCATAAACTAGCTCGTGATAAGCGCAGCAGCAGCAGTGCTAGTTTGAACTCACTGGGGTCATTGCGTAGCTGCTCCTCCGCTGCCTCTATGGTAATCAGCAGGGCCTCGGTACAGTCAGCTCTCTTCCCGATGATGGTGATACTGTTCCAAAAATACATCATCTCCTACAGAGAGAGAAACTGTCATCAGTTATTACTGTTAACTACTAGCTTACTCAGAACACACCAATGGGTACCTAAGCACTGCTGCTAAGCCAGCCAGAGCTTTCAGATTGACTTCACCGCCCAGTCTAACAACCTCAGACCTCAGTTGGTTTATCTGAACATTTAACACAAATAAACCTGAAAGTCTGATGTATGCATGACAGACACGTGTGTGTACCAGAATAGGGACGACCAGGGGGACGGGATTAGCAGCTTTATAGCGTCTGGACTTCCTCACTGCAAATTTCTCCGTTGGGATCGATTTCCCAGCCACGCGCTGTTTCAGCCCCTCCACCTGCCTACACACACACACACACACACACACACACACACACACACACGTTTACACCTGTATACTTGTGAGGACCCTCATTGACATAAAGGGTTCTAGTTTTAACCCTTAAGCATAACTGGAGTCTAACTTCCAAATCTTAACCTTCATTAGAAAAAAGGACAACTGGAAAACATTTTTCAAACTTTCTAAATGTCTTTGTTTTTCAAAAATGTCCTCGTTATCCACAAATGTTCTCACTTTCTAAAAATGTCCCTGGTTTCCAAAATGTTGTCATATTTCCAAAATGTATGCACTTTCCAAAAACACTCACTTTACTAAAATGTCCACACTTCCCATAAATGTCCAAAGTTTTTTTTAAAAGCCCTCAGATTCCAAAAATTTCCTCATTTTGCAAAAATATTCTTTTAAAACTTGCCCTAACCTTTTAAGAACGTGTTTCCCATTAGCTTTCATGCATTTTCATCTGTAAAGTAAAATATAAAACTGATTTCCCTGAATGATACATTCATGTCACTGTTAACATTTTAATGTGGAGCCAAACTGACCTGAAGAGCTCCACGATGTCCTCGCCCGTCTTCTTCGCCTCCTCCTCTGACATCATACTGAGGATGGCCGCCTTCTGGTACACGTAGATGGCCTGGAGAAGGTAAAAACACAGTGGATGTAGCTCAGCTACACTCATTCTTAGCCCCACTCAGACTTTCTCTGAATGTATTTGAGCACTAAGTTTAACTACATGGTGTCGTCCTGACATGTTCACCTTGGACCAGCGGCTCTCCTTGCACAGCAGGTCGGCGTAGCGGTACGCCTGCTGCCACTCCTGCTGGTAGGAGTGAGTCCACATCAGCTCCCAGTAGCACACGTGGTGGACCTGCTTCCACTCCTGCTGGCAGCTGATACACTCCTCATACTTGGCCCGGGCCTGGAAACGCAGGTTAACACATCAACATCGAAGGAAAGATGATGCCACAAATATTCAAACTTACACTTCATACACAAAATTAAAGTCTTCTTTTCACCACATAATTTAAGATGCATCTCACTTTCATTTCCTTGGATTTTGGAAGAAAATAAATCAATTTAGAAATTTTTGAAACATTTATAGAAAATGAGAAAGTAAATGCATTTTTTAAAACTGACTTATTTTAGAAAGATTAGTTTGTATTTTTTGTTTTTGCAAAATGAAGATATCTTCTGGCAAGTTTAGGAAAGTGGGTAAATGCTTTTTAAAATGAAAATATTTTAGAAAGTCAGCTTTTACTACTATCTTTGTGATGACCAGAGTTTGGAATTTTTAAAGTTTTTGAAAAGCGAAGCCAGTTTTAGTAAATGAAAACATTTTTGGAACGTGAGGACAAATTAGGACAACACTAAAATTTAAGGCATATTTGGAAGACGAGGACATTTTTAAAGGAGAAAACTTGCATTAATGGAAAAAGATTCTCACTTATCAACAGGGCTGTTTGAGGGTTAAGGGTAGAATTAGGCTTGGCTGAGGATTTGGGAGGGGTATGAGGGGTTGTGAGGCTCCTCACAAGCAAAGAAAGAACAAATGTGTGAGTCTCAGACCTTCTCAAAGTTTCCCCGCAGCGTAGAGATGCGAGCAGAGTAGAAGAGGATGACGAAACCCTGACAGAAAGACAAACTGAGTGGACTTTATCACTTTGGAACTGAATATAAATCAACCAGTCAAATGTACAACAGTCTATTTTTTAACTTTCCATTTTTCTACTGAAGAAATGAAAACATAAAAACCAAAATCGCTGGTTGCTGTGTGTGTTTTATGTTTCTTACTACATTGCCTATTTTGACTAGAACACACGTTTGTCCGACTCACTTTGGGGTATTTGTGTTGAAAGGGTTCCAGCAGAGCTTCAGCCTCCACCAGGTTTCCCTCCGCGGTTCCTTATCAAAGAGAACACCTACACTGTTAAGTGCAGCCATAAAGGCATTCATCAAGAGATTTACACCTAATCTACAGTGTATGCTTGGAACAACAGCAGATCTGTGAATCGTGGGCAGATGTTGTGGAGCCAGACACCACGGTGCAAGACAGAGGGTTTGTGTTTCCCTACCCAGTATCAGTGAAATGTATGTGTGGTAAAACAGCAGAGTCAGAGAGCAGACGACCGACCGCAGACTGTGACTGGAAGCCCCCTCTCTCAGCTGAGACAAACCAAACTCCTGCAGAGACAGAGGCAGGAAGGGATTCCTGTTAAGGCAAGCTGAATTCCTCCCTCGGGAGTTTCACAGTAAAAGCCCTCCGCTGGTTTAGGGGGTGTAATTACTATTGTGAAGTAGCAGCAGACTGAGATCACTGTCTGGACACTCATCCTAGCTATGGAGGCATCATCAAGTCCTTAAATAAATATTTGTTATGTCAGTTATTAAAACTGATGGAATAAGTAGAGAACGAACCCTGTTCCCTGAGAACCCGATGAACTCCAACAACCTCAGAATCCTCTGAGGGAGGAGAGACAGCATCTAAAAGACAGAAGCACATTGATGAGCTAGTGTCACTTTAGTCAACTTTGATGCGAATGAAAATTTGCTGCACTTTTACTTCTTCCATCTGTGACACAAGGAGAATAAAACCAAACAGCCCCTTTAAAAACCCACCAGGTTGAAGGCGCCGATGCCCAGCTTGACGCCGCTCTCAAACTGTCTGAACAAATCAGACTGGCCGGCCAGGTCCTGAGCAACACCCAGCATATTCTGACAGTCCCTATTGGATGACATGAAACACAAATATTTGTACTGAAATTTGAACAATGACAAACTTTTAGCAACATAAGCTGCATTGGACCAAAGAGACCCTGGGATTTAACTACATGTCTGGTTACATCAGCATTTAACTTGGCTTGTAATCAATTCATAACAATGGATTTGCTGACAGGAGCTAAGTAAATCTGCACAAACATTTCACATCAAGCTAAATTTAGGTTCACTTTGACACACAAATGATTCTAATCCACAAAGAAAGGATTACCGACAGCTAGGAGAGAGATGCCCATAAAAACGGCTCAGAATAAACTGTATGAACAAATGTTATTAGACCTAGCTAATCAGCAAATTGACAACTGGCGAGCAGTTAGCAGCTCGTTAGCTCAGAGAGCTAGTATCCCTTTACTGAGTAAAATTATGTACAGTCCTGACAACGAAACACTGGGGAGAGTCACAGAGAGTCACTACATCACCAAGCCTCTAGAGCAAAATGTTTGCTGAAGGGTGAATTTCACTGTGGTCATTGATCAGTGTTCCTGAACAGTTAACGATACCCTGTGGAGTTCTTATCATTAGAAATGTTCTGAAGCAATATTAGACTGTAGCTCGTCAACACACAGGAGGACACAAACACATAACATGATGTGCGTATGTGCCCGCTGCAGAGGGCGGTAATACAATATGTAGTACAAGAAAGTCATGAAGTAGTAGTAGTAGTCAGGACGATGGTAAAAAGGCAGCACAAAGAGGACTGCTAGCTGGTGGAAACATAGATGTACCAAAGCAAAATATTATAAAAATCACCTTTGCAAATGAGTCATGGGGAGAGAAATGAACTATGATTGCTAATAATATACATTTTGGTGAGGAACAGAAACTTTTGTTTTGAAGGAAACTCCACAGAGCATCTTTGTAACTGTGGGTTCGAGTCCATCACTCACTTGTAAATTTTGTAGCTGGTTCGAATCTTGATGCCTCCTTTGATAAAACTGATCATGTTCTCGTCCTGGAGGAGAGACAGAGGATAGTAAGGGACAGCACGGCCTTCAGGTAGCTAGCAGTCCTAACGTTAGCATCTGCAGCTTTGCTTATTGTTTGTTGCTTTGTGTCTCTTCTGCTGACATGCGCTATGAATCAAATTATGTACAAAATTGACCAAATAATTGATTTTGTGGTGATCGACACTATCCAAATCATAAATACCAAGCTACTGAGCACTAGCGGGAGTATGTCTGCTCAGAGGTGTGTGTTTGGGTCATTTTCAAAGGTTCACACCAACTTGAACAAACCTGTTTCCTGTTCGCACCAGTTACATCACCTGCTAATTTATTATTAAGAAATGTGATGTTTTACATGTTACATCATACTGATACATTAGGAAACCTAAAAACCAGCTTTTGTAGAAAGTTTCTGAAATGATGATTTGAAGAGTTTAGATTTTTGCCATTTTCAGTCGAATCTTGGTGGGGATGACGATAAACTGTGGTTACTAATCTGGGGACTGGGGCCCCCAAGAGACAGCTGAGGGATTACAAAATGATGAAAGTTACAGTGGATATAAAAAGTCTACACACTCCTGTTAAAATGCCAGGTTTCTGTGATGTAAAAAAACGAGACCAAGATAAATAATTCCAGAACTTTAGCCACCTTTAATGTGACCTATAACTTGTACAACTCAATTGAAAACAAACTGAAATCTTTTTTTCAGTGGGAAGTAAAAATAAAAAACTAAAATAATGTGGTTGCATTAGTGTGCACACCCTTAAACTAATATTTTGTTGAAGCACCTTTTGATTTTATTACAGCACTCAGTCTTTTTGGGTATGAGTTTATCAGCAATGCACATCTTGACTCTGCAATATTTGCCCACTCTTCTTTGCAAAAACGCTCCAAATCTGTCAGATTGTGAGGGCATCTCCTATGCACAGCCCTCTTCAGATCACCACACAGATGTTCAATCGGATTCAAGTCCGGGCTCTGGCTGGGCCATTCTAAGACTTTTATCTTGTTCTGGTTAAGCCATTCCTTTGTTGATTTGGATGTATGCTTGGGGTCATTGTCGTGCTGAAAGATGAAGTTCCTCTTCATCTTCAGCTTTCTAGCAGAAGCCTGAAGGTTTTGTGCCAATATTGACTGGTATGTGGAACTGTTCATAATTCCCTCCACCTTGACTAAGGCCCCAGTTCCAGCTGAAGAAAAACAACCCCAAAGCATGATGCTGCCACCACCATGCTTCACTGTGGGTATGGTGTTCTTTTGGTGATGTGCAGTGTTGTTTTTGTGCCAAACATACCTTTTGGAATTACAGCCAAAAAGTTCAACCTTGGTTTCATCAGACCATAACACCTTTTCCCACATGCCTTTGGGAGACTTCAAATGTGTGTTTGCAAAATGTAACCGGGCATGGATATTTTTCTTTGTAAGAAAAGGCTTCCGTCTTGCCACTCTACCCCATAGCCCAGACAAATGAAGAATACGGGAGATTGTCGTCACATGTACTACACAACCAGTACTTGCCAGGAATTCCTGCAGCTCCTTTAATGTTGCTGTAGGCCTCTTGGCAGCCTCCCTGACCAGTTTTCTCCTTGTCTTTTCATCAATTTTGGAGGGACGTCCAGCTCTTGGTAATGTCACTGTTGCACCATATTTTCTCCACTTGATGATGACTGACTTCACTGTGTTCCATGGTATATCTAATGCCTTGGAAATTCTTTTGTACCCTTCTCCTGACTGATACCTTTTAACAATGAGATCCCTCTGATGCTTTGGAAGTTCTCTGCGGACCATGGCTTTTGCTGTAGGATGCGACTATGAAAATGTCAGGAATAGCCTACTGGAACAGCTGAACTTTATATGGGGTTAATCAGAGGGACTTTAATTGATGGCAGGTGTACTGACTCCTATTTAACATGAGTTTGAATGTGACTGCCTCATTCTGACAACAGTCACAGCCCCACAGTAAGAGGGTGTGCACACTAATGCAACCACATTATTTTAGTTTTTTATTTTTACTTCCCACTGAAAAACAGATTTCAGTTTGTTTTCAATTGAGTTGTACAAGTTATAGGTCACATTAAAGGTGGTTAAAGTTCTGGAATTATTTATCTTGGTCTCGTTTTTTACATCACAGAAACCTGGCATTTTAACAGGGGTGTGTAGACTTTTTATATCCACTGTACATTTTTATTTTTATATTACTAGACCCTTTCACTTCTTCTGGCCTCTGAAAGATGCACGGCTCATTGCTCAGGTCAGCATTAAGGTCAGGGTCACACTGGATTTTAAATGGACATACTGTAGAAAAAAAGGCTGTGAACCACTTGTGTAATTCATCAATCCAGGACATAAGCGACCAAACAGGCCTGTTTAGCTGTCAGGTGACACTGGAGGAGGCAAATTATCCACTAACTGCCTCTAGTGGTCATAAGATGAACTGCACCCCACTAAATGTATGCATATGTGAAAGTCAGACAGCAGCTGTGACCTGGATAAACGTCAGCACGGCTTTCTGCAGCAGACACTCGGCGTAGCAGAGCTCTGCGTGCATCTCTTCTGCAAACATACAAACATAGCACAGTGACTTCCTGCTGCACTTCCTCAGCTGACAATGAGACCGTGTGGACGTGTTAACAAACCTTCCTGCAGGTTGGACTGTTTGCTCATCAGACTGGACAGAGACCCGACCATCGAGTTCCTCTTCCTGAACCTGCACAGCAGTTTAGTTGGAACGCTTTAAATCAAATGTCAATAAAAAGCCTGTAGTTATAATTTTGGGGCAACCTTGTGGCCCAGATTCTTATCCAGCCATTATCCGGTTATCATTTACACCTGTGTTTTTCTACTCTGACACGTCGACACCTGGCTCACCTCTGGCAGGTGTTTAACGCCTCCTTGATGATCACCATGGCGGTTTGGATGTCTCTGTGTTCGAAGGTCATGGTGGCCTGGATCATCAGGATGCTGCTGTAGGCCATCGCGTGGTAGATACTGTCCCTCCACCTGCACACATGCTGCGCATGACTCATCTTGGAAATTTTAAGCAGTGGTGGTTTTAATTTTAGTACCTGTAGTTGCACTAATAGCATCAGAGAGAGTAGAAATACCACTAACGGCAAAATGATTAATATCAGCAGCAGTACCAGTAATAGTACGAAAAGCAAAGTCGTGGTTGTACCTGTGGTCATACCAGCACTAACTGTTCCAGTACCAGTGGTAGTGGCAGTATCCTACTGATAGTACAAACTGTACTCTCACAAATACACAGTGTACTACATAACACACAGGGTCGTTACCATGGTTTGAGTAGGTCCAGGCTTTCAGATAACTTGTTGTTGAGGACCAGGCTGAGAGCACACTGAGTCTCCTGGATCGCCGTCTGCAGGTCCATCTGACATGCCCTGCACACACGCACATGCACACACATCACGTACACATACAATATATCGACCAGTCAGCACAAGAAGTGACCAAAAGCTAAAGAGACAGGAGGCTGACAGGAAGTGTACACGGTGTAATTCACACACACACACACACACACACTGTTTTCATTCCTTGTGGGGACTTTACACTGACTCACATTCATTTCCTGTAGACTTATCCTAACCTTAACCATAACCACTACTTGCCTAACGCCTAAACCTTAAACCATGTTGCCACCCTAAAATTCAGTGATTCCCTTGTGGGGACCAGCCAGGATGGCCGAGTCCCCACAATGTTTGTGTGTTAACAGGTTTCGGTCCCCATAATGTAAGTAATACAAAGGCACACTCACCAAACACACCAAGCATGTGTATGTACTCACGCAGGAATCCGATCATAGGCGTCTTCAAAACAGTCCTGGAAAACACAGAAACAGGGCTATATTCATCCTCCAAATAGGAACTAACATCAGTTGTCTGATTGGCTGCTTATGCAGGTGGACATAAAGTGTGGCGCCACCATCAGGTCACAAGTTTATTTTCTCCCAAATACCTGCAACACTAATGATATTATTTACCATTAATGTTAACGTATTTTGTTTTCAACATCTGGCAAGAGACCTCAGAAGAAAATCAGCTTTTACATTTACAGGAATGTTTATCAATGACCACTGTCCCTCTGTAAATAAACAGTTAAAGACAAAAGGGAAAAGACACTAGAAGACAGGGGTGCATACAGGGTCGCACCCCGCCCCCACCTTGGACACTCAGACCACATTTCTTTGTTTCTGTATCCAGTTTACAGACAAAGGCCACGTTCACACTGCAGGCTGAAGTGACTCAAATCCGATCTTTTTGCCCAAATGTGACCCATATCCGATTTCCTTATGACAGTGTGAACAGCACAAATCCGATTTTTTTCAAATCCGGCCAAGGCCACTTTCATATGTGGTCCTAAATCGGATAAATATCCGATGTTTTGCTTTACGACTTCAGTCTTAAAGCGCCATGTCGCATTTCATGCGATTTTTACGTCATTGAAATGTGACAGACGTCACAATTCTGCGCTGGAGGAGGCGAGGCCATAAGCAATATTTGTGCTCTCCTTCTTTTTGATATTCTTATTATTTCAATTGCACATTAACTGGTACATCGCTACGCATATGCTATTACGAGCCGCATCCATTTTTATTTTCGCAAACACAGTACGCTGCGTCTGACGTCACGTCCTCTTCTGCGCATGCGGGTCACCTCAGG